AAAAAAAAAAAAATCTGTGAATAAATGAGTGAATGCAGTCTGCATTGGGTTCCCCCAGAAATAAACCTTGAGATAAGGAATTGGGTGCAGCTAGTTTATTTGGGAGGTGATTGATCCCAGGGAGAATGAATGAATGGGAGAGAGAGGAAGGAGACAAACAGCATAAAGAGTGAATTAACAGGAGGATTACTAATGGGGGCAAGTGGACCCGATTCCACTGGGGATCCCCTAAGGAACTATGCTGAAAGCACGTTAACATGATCTATGAACTAGGAAGTGGGCTCTCACCAGACACCAAATCTGTTCGGACGTATCTCAGACTTCCCAGCCTCCAAAACTGTGAGAAATGAACCTGTGTTGTTTATAAGTCACCTTGTCTATGGTATTCTGTTATAGCAGTCCAAACTGACTAAGACACCACCATCCCCCCCCCACCCCATGCTGATTTAGGAAACTTCCCCATGCTCTCTACAGCCCCAAGACACCCTGGGCATACCTCTGTGAGAGTCATCCTCTCCCTGCTTTCTAAATAGAACTTCCTGATCTGTCTTTCTTGGAGGGCAAGAATAGTTCATCTCTGCAGATCTAATGCCCAGAAGATTTTTGAGCACATTACAGGCACTTACCGAATGCCTTTTAATGAATTCCAGTTCACCTTGCTCAGGGCCCCACTCAGAGTAAGTGGTCAATAAATGTAGGCTCCTTTCCTTTCCCTTCAAGTCAAAGAGTTTGCCATCTGACTTGGGAGAGCACTCAACGAGCAAGCATATAATGTGATAAATATGTTCTTGAAATGAACAGAAGTGCTGGGGGAGCACAAAGGAGGGAGCAATTAACTGGGACTATCCCAATGAGACTGCAGTTACATCATCTGGCAGTCTTAATTACTTATAGCTTTAACTTTCCAGCACCATTAATAGAGCCATCTAGTGCTTCTTCCATTATCCTGGGCTTTCTCATTTGAGCGCCTCTCCACCAAAGCGGAAGATACAGGGAGCTAAGGGACAGAGTGATCCGGTCACTGTAATCTTGTTTGTCCCTTTCATGCATCTGACATGTTTTTGTTGAGGTTCTCCTATGGGCCAGCCTCTTCTTGGCCTGGCATCCGGGAGTGATGGAGACAAGCAGCAGTCTGCTCTGATGCAGTTTACCCACGCAGGGGAAGACAGATGATAAATAAGCAGCCAAACAGGATAAATTAAGTAGTGGTAGGGCCTCTGAAGCAGTGAAACAGGGCATGTGATGTGGGAGAGAGGTAGGGGTGGAAGTAGGTGCCAAAGACAAGTAGATCAAATGGCTGGGGAAAACCCCCTTTGAGGAGCTGACTTCTGAGCTGTGAGCTGAGTGCCAAGAACAGCCAAGTGGAGATTCTTCCAGGAAGAGGGAACAGCAGCTGCAAAGGGCCTGGGGCAGGACTCCGGACTCCTGGTGCCAAGCCTAGAGTTTGTCTCACTGCTTCTCACCACTGAAAAAGAGCTGCAGAAAAGAGACAAACTTGGGTCTAAAACTGATGTCTGGTCCTGATGTGGAGTAGAGGGGCTGATACCCAATTTTCCGTCCACAGCAGGTTCATTTCAAGCTTCCGTTTTCACTCATTGGGCATGTTGTTCCCTCTTCAAAGTCTGACTGGGTTTCAAAGGAATTTGAAAGACTTAGAGCAAAGCCACCAAGCTGCATCCTCCAGGTAGAAACCCCTAAATGTGGCATGTTTGTGGGAAACCACAGTGAATCATTCCCACTGGCTGCCCAGTCCTGGCCTGACTGGACAGAGATTTACTTTGCTTTTCTCAAACTTCGTGAAGCCTCTCCAGACTTTTAAAGAAACCCCCACAATGTCCTGACTTTTGGATTAAGAGCAAAATCCCAAGTTCCGTGAGGTCTGTGAGTTTCAGATGTCACCAGAAGGGGGTCTGCCATAGCCACTAACCTTTTCCTCTGCAGAGAGCAGTTTCTGAAATGCTGCAAAGAAAAATAATCACTTGGTGATTAGGAAGAAAATGAAAGTCTAAGGCTTTGTAAGCAGGCACAGATAGGCACAGCACACACCCCGTGAGTTAAAACCTTCCTTTCTCAGATGTCTCTCATGGTACTAAGAACAATCATGGCCATCATTTATTTGAGCATTTACAATGTGTCAGTCCCTGTCTAAACATTTGGTTTCCAAATCAAACCTGTAAGGGTAGCATTACCACCTCATTTCACATTTGAGGAAATGAAGGCTCAGAGAAGTTCTGTGACTTACCCAAGATAACACAGCAAGAAAAAACAAGGCGAAGTCCGGATTCCAACCGGCATCAGAGTCTGGAATCCAGACTATTACTGTCCTTACTCTCCTGGACGGAGAAAATTCCTGCCCCTGCCATTGGACAAAAATGAGGAAATTAGCTGCGGGGAAGCAGTGAAAGGGGGCAGCCAGGTAAAGTCATTTCTCTTACTGAAAACAGGGGACAGGGCCAGGAGATGGCAAGTTCATCCTCCGCAGAACCGGAGAGGGCAAGTCCCTCTCCTGGTGTTGGGAGGGGTGGGGTGGGGGGCTCCGAAAGGCCCCTGCCAAGGCCAAGGTTTTATCTGGGCACATCCTGGCCCTTCCACCTCTGGGCACCGAGCAGGCAGGCCCCGGCGGGGGCGCGGGGCGTGCGGCCG